GACGAACAAAGGATATATAACAAAGTATTGAGATGAACTTTTGATATTGACCAAATACTTAGGTATACCTATGATGAAAATTACCAGCAAGAGTGTGTGAAAACCTTGTGAAGACTTACAGAAAACGTTTGACCTCTGTCATGACGAACAAAGGATATATAACAAAGTATTGAGATGAACTTTTGATATTGACCAAATACTTAGGTATACCTATGATGAAAATTACAGGCCTCTCTCATCTTTTTAAGTGGGAGAACTTGCACAATTGGTGGCTGACTAAATACTTTTTTGCCCCACTGTACTTCTTTTTTAGATGAAAGATGGGGACCTTCTGGTCTCACAAACCAAATCAGACTCCTATGGCTTCCCAATCAGGCTTGAAAAAGATTTTTGACATCACATTTCCAATTCCCCATGCCTAAATCTCCTATTTTTGGTCCTGTTTCTGTGGTTATTTCTGTAGTCACTTTGTGTTATTTAGTGAACACTGCAGTTTGCAGTGGTGGTATTTTATTACTTTGTGTCTTACTATGACTTTTGGGTCATTTCTAGGATATTGTAGGCTCAAATAGGATTTCAGAGACCTTAGTTTAAGAATGTCAATGTTAAACAATGCCCTTATTGAGCAGGTCTGTTTTTCTGCATCAGCTTTACCTGTCTTGTTGAATATTCCAGAGCTTTGAAGTGATCTCTGAGGCAGTTTTGTATTTACAGTCTGATTTCATCTTTTACAATGGGATGTCCTCCTTAGCAACTATAGCGTAATATAGGTTTTTGATTTTCTTGTCACTTGTAATTTTGAGTGGACATGCACAGGACTTCATTTTTAGAATGTTTCTTGTTCTTTCTTCTGAATAAACATGTAAAGTGATTGAAACTGACTTAATGTTTGCTTGACCTTTCAGTTACTGTTTCTGAGAGCTTTTTCACGTGTTTCCCTTATTTAAACTTAGCCATTCAAACTAGAGATGCCCATCTGATGTTGATTTAATAAAATCATAGAGTTGGAAAGGACCATAGAAGTCATTTAGTCTAATCCCTCTGCTCAGGGCAGGTTCTACTGGAGCATCTCTGACAGATGACCGTCCAGCCTCTGTTTGAAGACTTCTAGTGAATGAAAATTCACCACTGGCTGACAGTTTATATAGTCAAGAAGTTCCTCCTGATCTCTAGACTTTTTCCTTTCTTGTAGTTTTAAAAAAGTATTCTAGCCCTGCATTCCAGGATACTAGAAAGTAAGTCTGCTCCCTCTTCTGTGTGACAGTCCTTCAGATATTTAAAGACAGCCATCATATCTCCTCTTAGTTGTATTTTTTATAGGCTAAATATACCAGATCATTCAACCATTCCTCATAGGACTTGGCTTCCAGATACTTCACCATGTTGGTAGCCATCCTCTGCACTTGTCTGGAGGTTGAGTCATGGCACCTGGACTTCTTTTATTTTTGGTAGAGACGTTTTGCTACTTGTCCAAGCAGCTTCTTCAGTCTAAAAAAGTTGGTTAGGGTTTTTTTTTAAATTATTTCACTTTTTTTCTATAGATATACTTTTATCCAAACATAACCAAAGTGTATATTGATTGATTTTTTCTAATGTTAAGAAGTCACTTAACAGAACCTGTGATGCTTCCCCCTTACCACCACCACCCCATAACAAGTGCGTCCAGAAGCAGCTATGAATTACTGGTTGTCTGAAGCTGCTATTTCCTTTAATTACAAAAGAGAGAAGCAAAAGTCTAGTTTTGCTTAAACATTCTTCCTCAGTGATATCTCTGACTAATTCGCTGTGATGGATCATTTTTTTCTGGATGAACAGATTCCATCCATACCAGCTCTTCCGGTGTTTTGAATTTTTAAGAAATCGTAAAAATAAAATGATGTAGCAAGAATTTTCTTTGCAGAAGGCAGTTCCATTCTTTCTCAGAACACCGTGTTCTCTTACAAAATCATTAATGTTAGTTTTCACAATGTGTCTGATTAGGCTGGGAGTTGTTTTTTAAAAATTCTGTGGCTTTAAGCCACTTAAACCATATTAAATTATTTTTACATACTTTTCCTTCACCTACAATTTAAAAATTACACTGCTGAATTTAGTGCATTCATTTCTCAGACAGCAAAATCAGTAAACAAACTCCATTTCCTTTTTGCTGATAGAGCTGGCAATCCTTAAATTCCTTTGTCATCCATATAAAACAATTCCTGCCAGGTTTTCTGAATCATATGATTACACTAAATAATACATTCCAAGAGATACATGATGTGCTAAAGCTCATACTGTGTTGCCATATGCTTGAGTTTGAGCATATAAGTTTGAAGCTAGTGTGCTAAAATTTGAAGCTAGTGAGCTTAAAAAGAGAACAGTCCATTCCGCTTGAGATGAATAATGCAGGTTGGCAAAGTCCTTAAATTATCTAAAGGGCATGGTGGTTGTTTTGGTAAACATCACTACTTAACAGAAGAGGAATAAGTGTCATGAAGGTGATATAACATGACACTATTGAGCTTCACTTACATTACTTTTTTTTAATGGTCAAGCTCTAAATCAACTTTAGAAAAACAAACAAAACAAAGACAGTGGGCAGCCAAAGTTTTAAATGGTTTTATGCAGTGATAATTCCTCATATATACTGTCTAGGACATGAAGAAAGACATAGAACTGAGAGGTACCAAATGTGAACTTTTAGTCACAATTGGGAATATTAAGAATTGAGCAAAGAGGTCCTATTAAAGAGAACCAAGAGGAGAAGCTACTGAAGTTAACTTAAGAAGTATAGCTGTAAAAAGGGATTGTAGCATCAGTGAAACTGTAACATCTATAAAATAACCCATAAGTAGTACCACTATATTGCATCTTGAACCATGTGGTTTTCTGATCTCTAAGACTTCTATATAGTTTATTTCTTCTCTTGCTACCTTCCTTTATTTTGGTACAAATCATTTTAAAAGACATCTAAGGAAAATTACTATTAGAAATAAAATTTAGATCATAGACCTGATTAGATGCACAATTACTAGGCATATTTCAGATATAGGTAGTCCTCTTGGGAGTATGACCACAATTGGGACTGGAACTTCTGTCACTAAGCAATGTGGTCGTTAAGTGAGTCACGCCCAATTTTACAACCCTTTTTGCCATGGTCGTTAAGTGAATCACTGCAGTTGTTAAGCAAATCACGTGGTCATTAAGCAGATTTGGCTTCCCCCATTGACTTTGCTTGTCAGAAGCCCCCTGGGAAGGTCGCAAATGATGATCACATGACCCTGGAATGCTGCAACTCTTGAAAATACATGCCAGTTGCCAAGCACCTGAATTTTGATCACGTGACAATGGGGATACTGCGACGGTTGTAAGTGCAAGGACCAGTCATAAGTCCCTTTTTTTCATCATTGTTGTAACTACAAATGGTCGTAAGTTGAGGACTACTGTATACTAAGCTTATTGGTCCATTCATGATGGCTTTTACATTTGATGATGATCATATTTGGCAATCAATACCCTATACAAATGTATAATTATCATAATGCAGAATTTATATGAAACATACATGTACCCTGATTAAAATTTAGATATTGTTTTTCGAATAAAGTTTGGCCTATTTTAATACACTGTTAGTGATTATTCAACAATATGTCATAAATGGTCTTCTTATCATTGGTAGATCCTGGAAAAACTCTCCCAGAAACGCTTGACTACTGCAAGACCTGGTTACAGACAGTAGCAGGGGAAATAGATGCTAAAAGTGGTATCCCACCTCCTCTCATAACACTGAAGATTAAAGACTTCCTTAATGGCCCAGGTAAGAATTGCCAATTGACATCTTAAATTTAATCTATTAATTATCACGTTTCTTGGAGCAAAAGGCACAGCTCATAAGTGTGGAGATTCTTTTCTCCCTTATCATCATCATCATCATCATCATCATCATCATCATCATCATCAAAAGTTTTATGCCACCCAACTCCCAGCAACTCTTAACAGTTAGTATTCAGTGGATGAAGAAGTCTTCTATTTATTTTACAGGTAGTCCTCGCTTAACAACAGTAACTGGGACCGGAATTTCCGTTGCTAAGCGATGGGTTGTAAAGTGTGATGTCATGTGACTGTTACTACGAGTCCCCATTGCCATCATTAAGTGAAAATCACAGGTCATTAAGCAAGAACCTCATGTGATTGTGACTTGCAGCTTCCTGCCAACTTCCCACAAACAATGTCAATGTTATATTTTATAACATTTCTTCTTTCAGTAATGATACCTTGTTTTCTCTGTGCAGAGAATAGAGAAATTTCATCACATCAACTACTCAACTTCTTGATACTCTGGCAAAAGCCACAATATCATACGAAAATCTCTGTAGGTGGGAAAGACCATATTATTTTTCTTAAATGGGTCATAATTACTGTAGAACACTTCTGACTGCTCAAATCCAAGACTTTAAAAATGGATGAGCATTAGCCATAATAGAGGCCATGTACTCTACAGTCAACAACAAATGAACTAAGCAAATAGAAGTTTTGCACTGACTGCTTGAAGTTGTATCCCACCAAGCTAAGTGCTGCCCACACATATAGTGTGGCCTCTCAGGTATTCAGCAGTATTTGCATGGAGAGGAAAGGGGCAAATGATGAAAACAACATTGTACCCACGCAATGCATGACTGCTCCTTGGAGCAGAGCTTACAGCACAATGGTGCTTTCATCATTTTGATGCAGTGGTAGATCCTGTAGATGCCTCTGAACATGCTTGTAGGCTAATGCAGTTGTTTCATTGATGGACCCCCCCCCCCATATATATATATATATAGCAATTGTGTATCATTTGATT